TGCGCGAAAGTCCGCGGCGCCGAACAGGCTCGACGAGCCCAAGGACGGGCGGAGTGACGACGTGGGGTGGACCCAGGGTAGTCTCGGGGCGAAGCAGTCGGAGGGACTGAGCAGTGGTGGGGATTGGACGCCGGCYGCGGCAGGGCCTTGTGGCTATGGTGGTCGGTGGTYTTGGAAGGTTTGAAGGYTGCGCCTGGGRGCGGCAGTTAATTKAATTTTTTGTGTATAAGAAGGASTCRCTTTTATCTCCATTGMTGCTTTGTCTATGCAYGTCGTGTGTGTGAAGCCCMGAGTGAYGGGAGCTGGTTGTGCGCATGAGTGATGTCGAAGGTCTATGGATGATTGGATGTCATGTCAGGGGTTGTTGATTKCATGCACGTATGTGTGTATGTACTTGTCCGGGCGGGGACARGGAAACTGAACTGRGGGACCGTCTGCTTAGGAGTACGAGTGTGTTGATCCTGTCGTTCCCCTCCCCTCCGYGGCCTTTCCTGCRCGCACGCGCAGTCTCGGCGTAACTCACTCTCTCTCTCTCTCGATCGCCTTCCTTTTTGAACGGATAGTCCTCGCTTTTGAACTTYTCGTCCCTGTCCCGRTGACGTCAACCGCCTGCGTCCGCGCGGACGGTCGACGCCCCCGCAAGGGGAGAGAGCTTAGATTTCGTCATCTTCCCCCGACGCACCCACTTTTGAGAGAGAAGAGTTGCGTCGAGTGTTGTATGGAGTCGGTGTTGGTTTGGATGACCGGGAGCGCGGGATCTTGCCCGTGTTCATCGCGCCCCTCCGATCGTCTCCTCTCGCTACCGACCTTCCCCATCGCAGATGACGACAGCGTCTACTGCGATGCGGACGTACGGCGCGCGCTGAGACGGACGGAGCAAGTGTGCTGGCGCGATTCGCCTCGGGCGTGTGATATAAGGGGGAACGGGTTTGTCTTGATTGATCGCTTTGATTCCCCGACTCTAATATTGCCTTATACGGGTTTGACGGTGTTGCCCTGGTCGGCCGCTCACGCCGCGTGGCGGCCGCAGTTTGATTGTCGCTGGTGTCGCCACGGGGACTCGTGTTTATGGCGACGCTTGGTCCTGGGTTACGAGGGAGCGACACATTTTCCCGAGCTCTCCTGTAATGCGGGGGCGCTGCCCGCGCAATTTCGAATTCGGATGTCGGCGAGTCCTCCCGCCGTTTCACCCACTCGGAAACTTCCGCACGGACTTTGCGAGTCCGACACCGAGGCTTGAAGACCTCGAACTACCCACCTCTACAGCAAAAACCTGATGGTCCGGTTACTTCGTGAGGCCGATGACGAGGCCTGAAGGCTTCGAACCCACCACCTATCCCCAAACCCATGACGGCCGGAGTTTCTGCCTTCCGCCGCCATGGCCCTCTCCCCTTGATGCCTTTTTCTGTCCTGATGCACGACGACAATTCAGTTTTGCGGAAAACCTTATGATTTTATCGTTTCGGAGTGATCCGACCCCCACGGGACTTTGCGACGACAGTTCGACTCGGGGGTAACCTCTCGCACGAAACGAGAGCAGCTCGTTCCGTCCGGGAGACTCAACCCCTACGGCCAAAAATCCTCGGCCACGCCCCTCCTAGAACTCTGATCGGCGACCCAGTACGGGAAGCTGTCAGGGGGCGTGAGGTTGGTATCAGAGCTGATTCGTTTCGGCTCCGAGGTTTCCTAGGACAATTACCCTGTTAAAGAGTTTTTCCTTTTTGATCTTTTTAGTAGATTTTTCGCATTTTTGAGTAGGCTGGCTCCCCGTCGACGGCGGCCCGCGAATAACAATCAGAACCGAGCGAGAGGCCGGGCTTGAGGTCCGCCTCTCGCGATGGTTGAACCTGGAATTGGGGGTGGAAACGACGACGATAACCACGCGGGGATGGCCAATCATCCCGTGTATTTTGTGCCTCCTCCCTCCGAGGTTCCCATTTTTTCCGAAGATGATACCGACCCTCGCACCTAGCTAGCTGCCTTGAAAGCCCAGGGCTGGTCGGCCCAGTTGCTCCGAGTACGAATTCCCGGAAGGTTAGCCGGAACCGCTTTTGAGTGGTATGGACAGAACCCTTTCACTAATTGGTTAGCCTTCCAGAGGAAATTTCTCGACAAATTTGATCACATCGCACCAGGTCAATGCCTCCGTCGAATAAAGGAATACACGCAGCAGCCTCGGGAGACCTTGGCTAGATATGTTGAACGCTTTACATACCTAGCCGAACGCTCCGGGGTGGACGAGAAAATGGTACAAACTGATTTCGTTAGAGGATTGTCAGATTCTCGCCTGCGAAAAAAGATCCGCAAGAAATGCAACCCTATAGAACATACCCGGAGATAATTCAGTATGCAATGAAGTACGGGAAAGAAAATTACGATGTGGGAGTGGACTCTGAATCCGACGAAGACGACCCTTAGGGTGTTCGACGCAATAGCTACTCCGCTACAACACGAATGTTCGAGGATCGCTTCGGGTTGGGTCCGGCAAAAAAAGGCTCGGATCGAAAAGCTTCTTCCTCTTCTTCGACCTCCCGTCGCTCTCGTCAAGCACAAGGAGGACGGGGCAAGGAAGAAGTGTCCATGAAAGAGGTCGCGACCCAACTGGTTACGGTAGTGGCCCCGTTGACGGAGTTTGTTCAGGGCCTGCATCGGCAACACATAGCCGCCGCACAACGACAACAAGCGGCTATGGCCGCCGGGGCCCCTATGATAAGACCGACCGTGGCCGGGGCTGTCCCGCCCCTACGTTGTTATAACTGTAATCAGCCAGGCCACCTTGCGAAAGATTGTCCGAAACCTCGAACTCAGGGTGGGCCCGCTGGGCCCACTGGACCTTCCCAAATCCCGCTGGCTGCTCCAACCGCTGCAGGACAGGGGAGGGTAGCCACGGTAATGGACACAGGAAGGACGGAGATGGTGACCCCTGAGGCCACTGAGATAGGACCCGATGAGTATATGGCAGCAGCAATGTTCGAACCCGGGACCATCGGAGTGATACGTCACGTCCAACAGATTACGGAGGAAAGCGACCTCGGGCCGTGGCGACCAGGGTTCGAAGATCTTGCGGCACCTGGGCCTGAATACAAGGATGGCCATATCGACGTATTGGATGCCTTGAAGGCTCTGGATCTACGGATCCCCGTCCCTATTCCCTATCTGCTAACCATTTTCGAAGCGGCTAACGAAAAGTTGATCGAACGATGCCTCAAAAACAGCCGCCGATTCGAGGAAAGTCGAAAGGGCAAAAAGCCGGTCCTATGAGACCCACCCACAAACGAGGTGTCACAGCCCTCGACCTCAAAGGAGCACGAAGCCAACCGGATAGGAATGATCCAGACCATAGATTCCGCCTTGGAAAAACCCGAGGTATTCCTCCGGGCCTATCCTATAACCCGGAAAAGCGTTGAGTGTGACTGCGAGGTCTGGGGAAACCCCTCGGCTGCCATCCTAGACTCGGGATCGTCAACAGTCGCCATTTCTTGGAGATTGACGAAACGATTGGGAAGGGAAGAACAGGTTCAGCCCCTCCGACCGGATGAACAGTATATATCCGCTACGGAAGACAGCATTCATTGTAAAGAGCGGATAACAAACATGCCTATACAGGTGGGGCGGGTGCATTGTTTATGTGACGCAATCGTGCTGGATGTACAGGCGTATGATGTTCTGCTAGGCATTCCGTGGCAGGCGGCGGTTGGAGTGCGAATGCACTTTAACAGCTGTAAGGTGGTGCTCACATGGGCCCACCCCAAACCACAAACGATACCAATGAGATTGGCGGTGCGTATGCGTACCCAGCCGGCGCCTCGAATCACCACGAAAGCCCACCAAATCAATATGATCCGACGCCTGTCGCCAGGCGAAAATGAAACCTCGTYGGKAACTGACGAGACTGACGTTCCYGACCGATATCCGATCCGGGTTCAGGATCGGTGGCGCCATTCCTGGCGAYRAGAACCCCTGRAAATAGTTYGGAGYGRGTCCAATTGGTCGCACGCGTTCTCCTCCGTGGTGCAGGGGGAACCCCTGCTGAGGGTGTCCCGAATAGCTAACCTTTCGGAACCCCCTGCGTCCTTATATCTCAGGACGGACCCCCTACCTGAAAGATTTACCGAGCTTAGGGGGCTGTGCGATTTATCTTTTCGACCTCCACGGCCCCTACTCACGAATGAAAAAGTCGTGATACTCTTGAAAGAGGGGGTGTCGTTTCAACCCCGAACCAGGGAATATCGGTGGGGACCGAGGGAAGTGACGCAGGCCTTCTCGGTAGAACCCTCGGCCGAACCCGAACTGGACAGTGACAGTGACATGGAAAGCGAGCCGATGAGTCCGGCGGACAGTCAACTTATTGTGACTGTCCTTTCGGCGAAAACCGACAACTCTTTGTTTGGGGCCTTGCCCGATGCCAGCGCGACGGTCCCTACAGTTACGACGACGGTCTCCCTTCCTGGGGGAACCATAGAAGTTCAGTTACCAGCCCGTGTTCCGGATGAATACATACGCCTCCTCCTGGCGGTTATACGGGCCTATCCTGAGGCCGTCAGTATTCAGGAGCACGACATAGGGCTAACCCCTTTGATACAACACACGATTGATACCGGGGATCACGCCCCGATACATTGCCGACCGTACCGATATTCCCTTAAAGAAAGACAGCTGGTGTTGGAAAGGGTACGGGAATTCGAGCGGTTGGGGTGGGTCGAACCATCGCTGGGACCGTGGTCTTTTCCCGTGGTCCTCGTGCCAAAACGAAATGGTTCGGTCTGAGTATGTATCGACTACCGAAAATTGAACGCTATCACTACCAAAGATGTGTATCCCTTGCCGCGAATCGACGATTTATTAGATGCTATCGGGTCCGCTCGGGTCTTTTCCAAGTTCGATATCCGACACGGTTTTCACCATGTCGCAGTCCGACCGGAAGACCGACCCAAAACTGCTTTTGTCCAATTTGAGGGCACGTGGCAATGGGTCCGGTGTCCCATGGGAATTTGTAACGCCCCTGCAACGTTTCAGCGGGCCATGAATATGGCCTTCGCTGAGTTCGTTAACAAAACCCGACTAACCCAGCCCCTGATCAATTTCTGCGTGATTGTGTACATGGATGATATTTTGGTCTTTTCAAAAATACACGAGTACCACGTGGAACACATTGAGTGGGTTTTGCATGCACTAAAAGATGCGGGGTTCAAAGTGGCCTTGGAGAAAAGCGAGTTCTTCTTGTCGGAGATCTCATTCTTGGGGTACATCGTCACTGTCGATGGACTAAAACCGGATCCGAGGAAGGTGGCAGCAGTTCAAGAAGCCCCGACGCCGGTCACACTCACCCAGGTTCGGGCTTTTCTAGGGCAGGCATCCTRTTACCGACGCTTCATCAAGGGGTTCGCCGGTGTAGCGAAGCCCCTAACGAACCTGCTGAAAAAAGAGGAGCAGCTGATCTTGACGCCGGAAAGCGAAGCGCCGTTTCAGGCGTTGAAGGAGGCTCTGACATCTGCTCCTGTGTTGGCGTGTCCCGACCCGACAAGACCGTTCGCACTGTACATCGATTGGCAGCCGCAGGCGATATCGGAGGTGCTGACTCAACACGGGGCGGACAGAAGGGAACACGTCATTGAATATGCATCCAAGACGCTGGGCCAGACGCAGGCTAATTACAAAGCGTGCAAAGGCGAATGCCTGGCGGTGGTGTGGGGGATTCAGCATTTCCGACCGTATCTTTACGGCCAGAAATTCGTGCTGGTAACGGATCATCAGCCGCTGCTGTCCCTACGCAACAACACAAACTACACGGGGACGCTGGGAAGGTGGGCGGTACGTTTGCAGGACTATGACTTCGACATCCGCCACCGTGCCACGCAGCAGCATGGCAACGCCGATGGATTGACGCGCCTCCTACCGCCCAACAAGTGTCCCGCCAACGAGCGACTCATTCCGTGGAGGCCAGAAGCCGCGGCGACGAAACCGCACTACGGGGAGCTACACGTGCTGCGCAAGGACGACGCCTGAGTCCGGAATGGAGGTTTCGCCGGAGATGGAAGACGCTATCTCTTTGCCCTCATCCAACTCCCTCGCTCTCTCAGCTAGTCCCTACTCGTCCCCTGAAACACATCTGAGTCCCTGTTTCTTCTGTACCTTGCCTATGGTCCCAGACCAAGAAGGGTCACATCCGGGAGGGCCTAGTTTTCTTTTGTGGGTACAATGTAGTCGGTGTCAAGCGGTCAAATCCCACGGACAATGCGTTAGGTTCCGAAGTGAAAAGACGTGGGTCTGTTCCAACTGCAGAACGGACCAAGTCCCTACCGAGAAACGGTATCTGGATGCACGAACCGCCGACGGATTCGTGCCAAGTGCCCGCCGGGCAGAAATCTGGACAGACCTTCTGTTTCTACGGAGGCTGTCAGGCGACTCGCTGTTAGAACTTACCAAAGCCAAGCAACGGAGAGTCACGGAGCGGGCGCAGGATTACCGCTGGCAGGGACCGACGTTACAAAAACAAAAAGTCGATGATGGCGGAGGGACTAGCTGGTTGACGGTTCCGCACCCTTTCGCTAGGTTCGATTGGACACGAGCCGCTCATGAAGAGGATGCGGTCCATTTCGCGGTCAAGTACACGGAAAAAGCCATCGAAAAGAATGAATGGTACTGGTCGGGAATTCGGGAAGATGTGAAATACATCGTCCAGATTGCCCAGCCTGCGCGGCGGACAAGGCGCCGGTACAGATGCCTCGAACGATGGTGCCTACTCGTGTAGAGCGCCCCTTTCAGAGGGTTAGCATCAACACGACGGATATCAACGTTCCGAGAGGTCCCGTCGATCAGGGAGAGCTCAATGTTCTTTTAGTGGCCGTCGATCATTTTTCGAAATGGATCGAGGCGTACCCTATGACCAGCCGGAATTCGCAGGAGGTAGCCTGGTACGTGAACCGATTTTTGTGCATGCATCTAGACGTAGAAGAGGTACACATGGGCAATGGGTCGGAATTTCAAGGCGAAGTAGAACATCACCTAGTCAGGGCGGATGTTAAGATTATCTACTCGCCGGGGCATTGGCCTCAAGCCAATGGCCTGGTAAAGAATGCCAACTGACTGATTAAGACCGCTCTTAGATGGAATATCACTGCGGGAGACACCCGGCCCTGGCCTGTCATTGTCGACCACATTTTGATCGTCTATCGGGCTACCCCACACGGTAGTACTGGGGTGTCCCCCTTCCAACTGAGAACCAATAGTGTCCCTCGGGTGCAGTTGTCCCCCTTGGTAGGTACGGAAGTTAGAGCAACACGGRCCYARCACAGAGATAAGGCCCGCCACTACATGGACTTAATGGCTAGGGCCTATCCCCCGTTAGCTCGCCGGCGACAGCGGGCCGTAGATCGGACGCATCAACGGCAGATCCGCGATTATGAGAACCGACATGCGTCCGCGGGACCACTTCCTCGCTATAAAATTGGGGACTTGGTGCAGGTACGGAAATCCGCGCACTCCTCCAAGATCCACCCACCCTACACAGACATTTACGAGGTAACGGAAGTTGGCGCACAGGGACAGCACTCCGTGAAGCTGATTCCCCGTCACAACTCCCAGGCTCGACCGCTGACACGGCACGCTGCCGCCCTCCGGCCCTTCCAACCATCGCTAGGCCCCATACGGACCCCCGCTCCTGCGAGATCATCCTCTCCTTCTTCGTCTTCCTCCTCTTCCCGATCTGCCTCGTCCATTGGTGCTGAGAGTTTCAGGGAGCAGGATGAACCATCGCCAGCCGGAGCATGAGCCCCTCGAGCATTTCCAGACGCCGCTTGCAGATCGCTTGTTGCGGCATCAGTTCAATGAGGAAAGGCAGTTGCGGTACGACATTCAGCAGGTGAACGTGCCAACGCCCGGGGTTGCTGATCTGGCGGCGTACTTGTTACTTTGCGATCAGCTGATGTATGCGGGGGTGTACATGGACGTGGCGCAGTTGCCTGGGCGGGAGACGACTCGAGTGTTCATCGAGTTCCGCGCGCTCCAGGTGGCACCCAACTTCGTGCATAGCGTCGCCACCTTTATCGGCGACTTGACGATCCTGCCACCGCCGAGTCGGGAGCTGGCGCGAGGTTTTGTGCGCGAGTACGCGGTGCAGGCGGCCAGATCGGTGGCCAGAGTGCAAGGACGAGGGGGACACCGATTCACAGCCCACGAAACGCTGCTGCGCAGGGCAGAGGACGGACCGATCGCGTTGGTACCACAGCTATCGCGCTTCTTCCTCCCGCTGCCCCTCTCAACGTCCAAGCTCTTCCCCCTGCCCCGTACTAAATGCCTCCCTTCTTCTCTTACACCACTCTCCCCTATCAACTCACGGAGGGCCCTTATCCTATGCGCGAGTTCTCGAAGTATCTGGTGGAGCTAACTGACGTGGAACCGCTGCCCAACCGGCGCCACCCAAGGCCCCCAAGAAGACACCGAAGAGGAAGAGACGCCACCCGTCGCCAGGAGCGCAAGGCAGCAGGATTGGTGGCGGCGAGGAGGTGATTCAGCCCGCGCGTACGCGAAATCTTGACGTCGCGCCTGGGAGTGCGGTGACGCTCGTTAGGGCGACTGTCGTGCCATCACCGCCCTTCCCGCACGTGCCCGATCTCAATCTTGATGGAGCCGGGCCATCAGCAGCAGCAGCAGCCGGGGGAGGAAGCCGAATAGGAGTACCGGATCCCATATCCAGACCCCCCGTCCTCACGGGACCTCTCCGCTCCCGCCAGCCACCCCGGGGTGCCCCGATCATTGACATTAGCAGTTCCTCCGAGCCGGACGGTCCATCCGACAGAGGTGGATTTCATGGTGGAGCCCACCACCATCAGGCTCGAGGCCATCGAGGGGGCGCCTCGCCCTGATCCGGCGTGGGAGCCATATCTGACACCCCACCCCCTTTTCAAGGGTGCATTGCGGCGCGACTGGCTGGGACGCTCATCTACGAGACCGGGCAGCGTCCCAATGTGATGTACCACTTCCTTGTCTTTGCGGCGCAGAAGCGGGAGCGGCGGCCTTACACCGAGACTCATGTGGTGATGACGGGTCCAGGGCCCCGATCGGTGCGCAAGCGGGTGGTGCGAGCGGTGGCGGATCTGGCGCCATGTGTCCTGTCTCATGTGCCGAGGGCCTTCCTCTATCCCTCGTTCGTCCAGCACCGCTTCCAGGAGGAAGATGCGCCGATGACTCCCGCGGCAATGGCCGCTTTTCTTCCACCTATTCCGCCCCCTCTCAATCCCGACATCGATCACTTCCTCTGATCACCCTCGTCTACCTCTCCCAGCTTCTCTCCTTCTCCTTCTCTTCATCATCTTCTTCTCCTATGCCCAAAGTTCGCGCGTCGAGACGTGCTGTGTATAAATATATATATATATCCTCTTCTCCCTCTCTGCCTACGGTTTACCGGGCAGTTCTATTTAACGATATATATATATATATATATATATATATATATATATATATATATAT